GAAACAAAGCAAGGAAATGAATAAGGGGAGCGTCTAGTTTGAATGATAATAGAAAGAACTCTTAAACTACTTAGGTGAAACGGTTGTTGCTTGAACTCGTCTTTGGACTAGTAAATGGGCCAACAATGGGTATACTTTCCTTGTTAAAAACCTCTTGCAAAACCCAATGGGACAAAAACAAGAAAAGGGAAAAAGAGCACAAGTATAGCCCATTCCCGATTTACTAGCCGTGGGCTTGAATCAAAACCAGAGTGGTTTGATAAGCATGATCATGATCTTCTTGATTCTCCGAGTGGTTAAGTAACGAATGCACTTGTTCTTGTAGTGCCTTGGCTCTTGAACGTGTCATTGGACCTTGGGGAATGTATAGAGCTTCTTCGACTACATGATCTCTTTTAACTCCTTCTCCATAGTCTTCTTTATCTTCAAGCCTTTCTTTAGCAGCTTCAAGCTCTAAGTCTTTAACCTTGTCCAAGATCATATCATGTTCCCACATAGCCAAGCAAAAAGAGGTCAAGCTAAGAGACCTTAAACAAAACACACTTGGGAGGTAATCCCATGACTATCTATGTAAATATGCTTTCCTTTTGACCTTGATACGTTTTTTGAGTGATTTCAGGTTGGAAAATTTGTTGAATAGGTCAGAAAATGTGGAAAATCCAAGAAAACTAAAGCTCTGTTTCTGCATCAAGGTACCATATCGAGCAGAACCTCTGCAAACTCTGCCCGATGCATTTTATCTCAGGGAAGAAGCAGTCTGTATATCGAGCAGATTGCACGATAGAGATCACATCAAGGTACCACATTGAGCAAAACCTCAAAGGCCCTGCTCCATACAATCTCCGAGACCGTACACCGAGGAGAACACCCTCTCCCTTCCATGGTGCATCTGTACCTCCCGACTGATTGACCCAAACGGAGCCCTTCCAGTGCGATTCAGCTTCAGCGTTCTTCATCGAAGTTGAAGAGGATCGAGTTAGATTTCTAATATAATTTGTATCAGGTCATTAAGGTCAGTGGTTAAAGAGATACGGCAATTGCAGTAAACAGGTATACAGCAGGGCGGTCACATCGAGGATGCACATCGAGTAGAACATCAAAGGCCCAGCTCGATACAGCCAAATGCATCTCAAAAAACCAGGATTGAAGGGATGGCACTGCCCCATGGTCTCCACTGGATTTCTACACTGTGATGAATGTCCATCCGCCACCCCTCCAACCACTAATACAAGTACACACCTTCTTCTTCCTTCAATCTTTACTCCTTATCTTTTAAATTTTATTGTTCCTATTGTGGTTTTGCCTTCTTTTGTATTTCAAATGCACAGTGGACTGTTTATTCTAAGTGTGGGGGAGGGTTTCTTAGACTAACATTTTGCATTCTCATCACAGCTGCATCTACATATAGCTTAGCAACTATGCATTGCACTTAAGGCATAGAAAATCACTAAAAATTTGAAATTTTTTCGAAAATTGATTTCTTAAAAACAGAGTGTTCATGTGCATTCATATAGGACTTAGACTTCATGCATTCACTTAGGTTGTAGCTTGCTTGTTTAAAATAGGTGGAATGATAGTGAATCTTTGAAAATGCTAGTGGTTTATGAAAATGATGCCCTTGTTCTTAGTCCTTTGATGCATTTTATGAAGCACCTGAAATAAGGCTGAAACACTCTTTGAACTTATGATTTTGAAACTCTTGTTTGAAGTTGAAGCTTGCTTGATTTGATCTTGACCTTTATATAAGTGGAACCTTAATTTGGACTTTGAATTATCTTGTTTTTGCATTGAAAGTGACTGCATGGCTACCAATATACATATTTGGATCATCTTCTTCTTTTTAACCACTTTTGTTGATCCAAGTAGCTGATCCTCATCATTAAGGGACAGTTTACCATACCTTGAACCAATCCTTCCTTCTAAAACCAAACACTATTTTGAGAGTTTGTGAGGCCTTGCATCATCATTTTCAAACTTATCTTGGCAAAAAGTGTTAGGAATAAGGCTGGCAAGGAAAATCTCTCTTGTAGACATCAGCTTGCATTTTGAGCTTGATAATAGATTAGGAGTTTTGGGAAAGGGTAGAGATAAGTGGTTTAAGCTTTAAATGTTTGTATCTTTTAAAAAGAGAAGAAGAGTGGGAATGGTTTCATGAAGAAAATGATATTGTGGGATGATGATTGTATCTTGTGGCTGACTGAAAAAGAAGAAAGCTCTAAGTTACAAAGAAGAAAAAGGCGCCAGTAACAACAAGCCTACAAAGATCATCCAAAAGGAGAAAAATCAGACCAATAAATCCACCAAAAAGGTGATGAAAATTGGCCCCTATACAACAAAGAGGAGCAAGTTCTAAAAGAAGTCAGCCACATAAGCAAAAGAAGAAGAAGTACCCCACATTTCAAGAAGAAAAAGATCAAAAGAGTCTTGGGAAAGGGTAGATTTAGGGGTTTATCTTGGGGTTTAGACTTAATTAGGATCATCTTTGGGAAACAAGTAGAAGAGAGCTTTGACTTGCATGCATAAGTGTGCTTTTACCTTTAGCATTTTACCTAAGATAGATTTATTTCATATGAGAGATCCCCTGTTTCTTTGAACCGAATTTGAATGAGATCATTGTTATCTCATAACCTTGTCCCTTGAACCAAATGCTTTCACTTGATTTGCACAAACTTGATCCATTGGTTACTTGCTAATTAAATGTTAAAAAGGTCAAGTGATTTGAGAGTTTATGTAGATTGATAACTTGAGAATCATTTTCATTTTGTGATGAGTGTGGCTAAGTTTTAGAGTAAAGTTCCATCATTTGAATTCTAGCACTAGAAACATGGACATCATTTTGATCTATCGTTAGCAGTTTAATGATATGAGTTCCCATTTTAAAACCTCATCACCATGTTTAATCTTTTATTTGCTTGAGGACAAGCAAAGACTAAGTGTGGGGGTGTTGATAGCTTGCTATATTAGAGCATTTTAGGCTGCATTTCATGCATGTTTTCTCTTGTTCTTGCATTATTTCCTATCATTTTAGTCCCATTTACATATAAAAGTAGCCATACATGCATTTGGATTAGGAATGCATATATTTGCATGTTTACGGTGTATTTCAGGTGTTTTTGGCTAAGGAGACTTATTGGAGGATAGAGGATCATCTGGAGTCAAATAAATATGCAAGAATAATGGAGCCAAGCTGTTTAGAAGCTGCACCGAGGTCACACATCGAGGTCTTTGCTCGGTTCAACAGGATGCGAGTTAAAGATCAGTCCGTACGAAGCCTCTCCATTCAGATTTAGGTTCTACGTTCTTCATGAAAGGTGTAGAGGAACTCAATAGCTTTCCAATGGTAGTCTGATCATGTCATTTTGATCTGGGTTTAAAGAGATAGAGCGATTTCAGCTACGCAGTGTTCACCAGTCTGCTATATCGGGGAAGCGCATCGACCAAAACATCAAACAAAATAAGCCGATGCGTGTTGAACAGACCAAAGCTGTCTAAAGCAACAGGGACAGACTGCATCGATAAACTGCATCAAGCAAAACATCTATTGTACACCTTGATATGCTTTATCCGAGAGTTAACCAACTTTTTCCACTTTTGACCAAACGTTATCCTGGACATCTTGTTTGAACATCTTGGATTGTCCTTATTAACCCAAACTAATTAAACTTCATTGTAGAAGAAAAAAACAAAATCAATCAAAATCAATAACTATTAATATCAATCCATTGTAATATATTATAAGAATCCAAATGACCAAATCCTATTTTTTAAAACAACAAGAAATTGAAAAATATCTCAGCTTTACAAAAAAAAAAATCTTCATAAATCCATCTACGAATTATCTCTCCCTTTAGTTTCTGTATACTCAATCTCATAGTCATGATTGTGTATTGTTGATAACTTCAGTGGATTACTTTAAGATTAAAAAATGAATACCTTATTAAACACTATGCCCTAAGCTTTGAGAGGAGAGGAATAAAATTATAAGATCTATCTCCAAACACACTAAACTTAACTAAAAGATTTGAAAAACTTCACAATAGGGCTAGTGACTGACACAACTTTATCAAAGTCTCATAGCTTGTCTATAATTATTTATCGATCATTGGAAAAAGATACTAGAAATAGTTCTCGTAAATATTCTCATTTTCGAGTAAAGGAGCTAGAGATTCTGTTTTCGGCATTTGTTTCTTCCATGAACATTGTCTTATCATCCATTTGAAGGCATACTCACCTAATTATGCGGGGTGGTCTCATATGCTCAATTCTTTTATAGCTCTATTGAAGATATTTTTTCGGAAATATAGTTAAATTAGTATTAATAAGCTTCGTATTTCTAGAAAATACATGTTTGACTATGAAATACATGTTTGACCATACTTTTATTCTTTGGTAACTCGCATAAATTAAGAGTCAAATATTCAAAATATTAATGTATATTTTTGTAACTGTTTCACCTATAAATACATACTACAATCAGATCTATGACAAATCAATAGTAAAAAAAACAAACTCATTCCTTTAAAGTAATTTTTAGCATATCAAAAACTTTTCACTAGTTCTTTAAACAAAGTCATCACCATTCGTTCAACAAAGGTATAATAATTCTTTCTTACAGCAGTATTCATAAATTCTAAATTTATATTTATCATCTTTTATATAAACAAAATTTAGATGTTAAAAATGATAAAAGAATTTAAATTAGTTTACTCGGATATTCTTTTATTTTTTTGAATTTCATGTATCTTTTTTTACATGTAAAATATTTTTAGTTGGCTAAATTAACTAATAAAATACATTGATAATATGCAGATGTCAAAAATATTTTTAAATGAATAAAAATAATTTAGAACCTAATTATACACACTTATAAAAGGATCTTTAATTTTTTGAGTTACAACATCATGTAAAAAATATAAAAATCTGAAAATGGTATTATTATTGTGTTAAAACAATCTCATATCGAAAGTGAAAGTTCGAGACCGGTGTCGGAATTAGAGCTAATGGCGAGTAATCAAGTGATGAATGCGCAACCTGAGTTTTTAGGTATAAGAGAACAAAATTGGACTATATTTTTTTGTTTTTTTAAAGCATTTCTTCACGATATTAATTTTTTGTTTAACAGTCGATGAAACCAAAAGCTATTTGTATAATAAATTATGGAGGTTATGTGCTGGACTTTTGGTTGGTCTTCCAAAATTTGGAGAAAAAGTTTATTACTTTCCTCAAGGACATATAGAGCAGGTTAGTTTCTCTTCATGTATCCTTCTATACTCTCTCCCATTCCTCTATCTTGGCATGTTAATTTTTTTCTACAATCTGATGGCATTCTCAGCTTGAAGCATCTACAAATAATGAGTTGGCCCAAATACAACCACTTTTTAATATTCCTTCAAAGCTTCCATGCAATGTTATTGGAATTAAGCTAAATGTATGTCTCCTTGATACTTAGTTTTCTACTTTATAAAATACGCGTTAACAACATTTGGTCAGAAGATATATAGTATTATTTTGTGTTATTATCTTCCAAAACAAACTTGTTACTTATTTTTATATTTGATTTTAGGTAGAAAAATATACAAATGAATTGTATGCCGAAGTGGCTTTGCTGCCAGATACAGTTGTGAGTGGCAAATTTTATAAAATTAATTTATATATTTATCTATATTTTTTAACCTCTATGAAATAAATTTTTGGATTTCTTTTTTTTATAGGAAGTTGGAATCCCTATTCCAAATAGAAATCAAGAAAATCTACAATTTTATTACTTCACCAAAGTTTTAAGTGTTTCTGATACAAGTCCACATGGTGGATTATCGGTTCTAAGAAAACATGCTCTTGAATGTCTTCCCCCTTTGGTATTTATATTTCGTTTCTCAATTTTATAAACTAATGTTTTGACTCAATTTGTAAGATTACATATAAATGTTTCTTTATTGAATTTATTTCTAGGATATGTCTCATCCTACTCCAACTCAAGAAATAGTTGCCAAAGATCTACATGGCCGTGAATGGAGATTTAAACATATATTTAGAGGTAATAAATATTTTTCATATCAGAATTTTTGATGATCTAATTTTATTAAAACCATTAATTAGGTGCACCGCGTAGGCATCTTTTCACAACTGGATGGAATGCATTTGTGACCGCAAATCATTTGGTCGCTGGAGACTGTTTTATATTTCTTAGGTATATATTTTTGTTGTTTTACATTTTTTTGTTCTTCGATTTAAGACATTAAATATTTTGTTTTCTCAGAGGAGAAAATGGGGAGACGCTAATTGGAGCTCGAAGAGTAGCTCATCGAGACGACAACATACCTTCGTTACTTATTTCTTCACATACTATATACCATGGAGTAATAGCTTCGGCAATGAATGCTATTGATACCAAAAATATGTTTACTGTGTTTTATAAGCCAAGGTAATGAAAAAAACACTTTGTTACTTAATTTAAAACATTATGTAATTGGTTTTTTCACCAAAGATACTTATATTTTGGTTCTTGCCGTGCATAGGTCAAGCCAGTTCATTGTAACCTTTGACAAATTTTTAGATGCACTGAACAACAAGTTCAATATAAATTTAAGATTTACCATGTTGTTTGAGGATGATGAATTTAATGAAAAAAAGTAAAACTTGAATATTTATTCTTGTTTGTTGTTACCAAAATATATTTGTTTTCATTGCAACAGATACTATGGAAAAATTACAGAAATAGAAGATTTCTCTTCTTATTGGAGGAATTCTGAATGACGAAACTTAAAAGTAAAAATCTCTCTAGCTATATTCATATATTGTTTTAGAATACACTTATAAAAGAGTAATAAATAACGTTCACAAGCTTCTGTTTTTCTAGGTGCATGATAAAATATCACCGTTTTCTTTATATACATATATATATATATAAATGAGTTCTAAAACTGTTTTTTTTTAATATGTAACTTACACATATTATATGTATATATATATATATATATATAAAGATTAGAGGGTTATCTATAATAAAATCTTTACTTTAACATGAAATATTATAATACATTAAATATGTGGAAAAAAACTTTAATAAATTTTTAAAATAAATTGAAACGATAATGGTTACTTCACATGTTCATGATATCGTTTTTGAACAGGGTATAGCCGTAGGGAGAACAGTGGATTTAACTGTTCTTGGTGGATACAATGAGTTGATCGACGAGTTAGAGAAACTCTTTGATCTTAAAGACAAATTGCGTATACATAATCAATGGGAAATAATTTTCACAGACGATGAAGAAGATATGATGCTGGTCGGAGATGATCCATGGCCGTACATTTCTTCCCACTTATCTTTTTCTCTCTCTCTCTCTCCCTTCTCTATCTTTATCTCTATCGATATTAAATCTTGGAAAAATATTAATGAAAATATTTAATTTGATGTGTAGTGAATTTTGCAACATGGTGAAGAAAATAATGATATGCCCAAAAGAGAAGGTGAAGATAATGAAATCATGGACACGACAATTCTTCCAAAGTGACTCAACTTTAACAACAATAATTGTAATATGTTTTAACATACCTCAATGTCAAAACATTCTATCTATTTATTTTCATCTTTAAGTAAATGTTTTTGTTTTCGAATTTGTCATGGTTTGACATGTTCAGAGTTGTTTGTGTATATAATATATATGTTTTTATCATTTATAAATAAATAAAAAACAAATAAAAATAGTTGTCATGTTATAGTATATTTGTTTTTCACAAATCATTTTTTTAGGACAAAACTTCATATTTATTGATCATCCTGAGATATTTACAAAAACATTGTTAGACATTTGTATAAAAATAATATTAAAATCGATTACTAATTTTATAATTTTTTTTAAATTTTAATTATAAAACAATTTTGATAGTTATCATAACGCATTAAAAATTAACTAATAATTTAATCAAAATACTTTTATTAAATTTGGTATATGGTAACTAAATGAATTATCAATTTTTATATTTATTATTTTCCAAATTATGAACATAAAAATTAAGTCTTCCTCAAATTCATTAGATTTAATACATAGGTAATACACAATTTAACCAATAATCTTTAATCTTTGTCTAAGGATTAAAAATAAATAAACAAATATATAAATTTTGTTTACCCAAAATTTGGATATTAGCGACTTCATATTTTTATTCAATCATATATATGTCATGTGCAAAATATTTAATTTTTAAATTAATTTATATAACAATTAATATACCATATATTTTAGAAAAATAAAAATAAAACTATATTGCCAATGTTATAGCATAATTTTATGTATGATTAATATAAAATTAATTAATTATATTATAGAATTTTTAAATTATACTAATTTACATAAACAATAATTATTTCACTTCACGTAAAGTGCGAGTTATTACCTAGTTTAATTTATTTGTAAAAATATGGGAAAAATAAAAAGCTCTTATCTCTATAGTTTTATTGTTCGGGATCAAATTTCGGGATGCCACGTGGGGGTATGTGATTCGTCTGGGGGGTGGAGTTGTGTCTCCCATTTTTGCCCTTTTGGGGGAAAGGCGACGAGTCGTTCCGGGGCGGAAACTTGCTTTGGTCCTGGTTACGGGGGAGTCATGATGATATATCCTGTAAGCACTAAACAAATGGTCAATCGGACCTCCGAAAAGACCAAAAAGGGATTTCTCTCTCGACGGTTCTCCGACACCAAAGTCAATGAACGTCTTACCGGGAACAAGTACTCAGGAGGGAAGTTTATACGCGTTTGGAGTGAGAAGTCTCGTCCGGGGATTGAGATTACTATCTGTTTATGAGTGTTTTGAGGGGGCGTCCGGTATAAAGAAAGAAGACATAGCGAGTATAAAGGCAAGGTTCCGGGTCACACATCGAGATCTTTGCTCGGTTCAACAGGATGGAGTTAAAGATCGGTCTGGAAAAGCCTCTCCACTTAGATTCAGGTTCCACGTTCTTCATAAAAGTTGTAGAGGATCTCAATAGCTTTCCAATGGTGGTCGGATCATATCATCTGGATCTGGGGTTAAAGAGATAGAGCGATTTCAGCTGCGCAGTGTTCACCAGCCTGCTATACCGGGGAAGCGCATCAACCAAAACATCAGGCAAAACACCCGATGCGTGCTGAACTGACCAAAGCTGTCTGGAGCAACAGGGACAGACTACATCGACCAACTGCATCGAGCAAAACATCTACCGTACACCTCGATGTGGTTTATCCTAGAGTTGACCAACTTTTTCCATTTTTGACCAAACATTATCCTTTCACTTATTTAAGCTTTTGACTTATCTTTTTGTTATATTATCTTCTTCTTTACCCTATTTTTTGACCTTGTGGGAAACCACAAAGAGAGTTTTATGGGATTTTGATCTAGATCACCTTTTTAATAAAGTTTTGCACTTCCTTTGTTATTTTCCTTCTAGTTCTTGTTTAATCATGTTTGATCTATCATCTCTTCTTATTTCTGTTGATTTTTCTATGTGTTGTGAGTAGTTTCATATGGTTTGAGGTTGGAGCAGATTTGGGGATGATTGGTTGATAGCTTAGGATGTTTTGGTTTGATTAATGCTTAGATCACTTAGCTTAGTTGTCCTTAGTGCTTAGTAACTCATGTAGGGTGAAACTGATTATAGGTGTTTGCTGCATCACAAGTGTTTGTTTAAATGCCTGAAAGAACTTTGTTTGGAACATTCTCCTAGATGATTATATTGGCGTTTAGGTAGCATGTTTGGTCTATAAGAAGCTTGTGTTTTCATGCTGGTTTTGCACAGATACACCATCACAAGTGGGTCTGACATGTGCTTAACTTAGACATCTCTGTTCTTGTTACAGGCTGGTTTTGTACAGATACGCCATCACAAGTGGGTCCGCCATGTGCTTAACTTAGTTGTTTCTGTTCTTGATGCGGATTGATTGATTTAGTGGCTTGATCATGTTCTTTGCTTGTTATCAGTCTTAACTACCCTAGGTTTGATGCTAAATAATCCCCAAGTCATCATTGCTCTAGCCTTGAACAGGCGCCTCATTGTTCTTTGCTCTTTATCATTTTGTGTTCTGTTTTCCTCTGTTTTTAGTTGCTTACTTTTGTTCTGTTCCTTGGCTTGCATTTCAAGTTATTGCATTTATCATTTATTTTGGTTCTTGCACTTCTATTGCTTTGCTTATCTTAGTCCTGTTGCATTTAGTTCATTGCCTTGTTAGTTCCTGTTGCATTTAGTTTCTTTGCATTGCATTGCTTTCTTTAGTCTTGTTAGTATTGCTTTTCACTTTTACATTTCATCTTTGTCCACTTAGGTTGTTAGAATAATTCTTCTTAATCATACATGGTTAAGCTTAGTTAGTTCCTTGCATCTCTTTTAGTCTAGCTCCTAGATGGATTAATTAAATCTCTTCTATACCACATTTGATTAGAGAGGGATTGAATCTAGTGACCCAAAAGTCCTTCTTCAATTTGGCGCCGTTGCCATTCTAGGATTGTTAGATAATTGAGTTTAGGTTCTTGCTTATACTTAACCACCTTTTAATTTACTAACCACTCTACCTCTCTTGCTATGTTTTCTCAGGTACCATGGCTAACCCAAACCACTTTAGACCTGCTTATCAAGCTCAGTTCAGAGAAGATGAAGCACCAGTTCAGAGGTTACATAGGCCAGTGCCTCAGATTGCTAGAAGAGCACAGCACATAGGATCTCATGATGCTCTTTACCTTCACACTAGACGCAGAAGTATACTTCCTCCACCATCTCAAGAGCATCACTTTGAGATCAAAAGCAGTTTGATTGCAATGGTACAAGCCAACCACTTTAATGGAACATCTATGGAAGATCCGCTTGATCACTTGGATGGCTTTGAGAGCCTTTGCAGTTTACAAAACATCAATGGCATCACAGAAGATGGTTTCAAACTAAGGTTATTTCCTTTCTCTCTTGGTGAACGTACACATTTGTGGGAAAGATCATTGCCTTATTGATCAGTATGTTCTTGGGATGATTGCAAAAGAGTGTCTCTTGCAAAGTTTTACTCTTCTACCAGGACAGCTACGCTTAGGCAGAACATCTCAGGGTTCAAACAATCACAAGATGAGCCATTCTCTTCAGCATGAGAAATATTTCAAGGGTACACATTGCGCTGCCCTCATCATGGTATCTCAACAGAGTCATTGCTCAGCACATTCTACAGAGGAGTGTTACCAAGGTTCAAGATGCTGTTAGACACTGCTAGTAACGGACACTTCTTGGGTACAACTGTTGATGATGGTTTGCAGCTGATTGAAAACCTTGCCTTGAGTAATGGTGACTATGGGGATGAGCAAGAGGACAGCTACAAGAAGAATACTGAAACCTCAGATCAACAAGCGAAGCTTGATATGTTAGCACTAAATGCTAAGCTGACTTGTTGCTTGAGCAATCTCTACATCACCCACCAAAGGCAATAGAGAAGACATCAGCTCTTGGACATGCTTACAACTTAGAAGCTGAAGCCTACTATGTGCATCAACAAGATAATGTTCATCATAAGCCTTACCAGGATGCAAGATATGACAGCTACAACGCTTACAGTACTCAAGCGCACACAAGGGAGAGCGCTCCACAATAAAATCAGCTTGGTGTTCCCATACAACAAAACCACAGGTCTACACCTTCCTATGAAGAACACCAAGAGCGTATGTATGCAACCGAATTTGTTCCTCAACATCAAGTGGCCGGTGCACAGGTTCTAGATATCCCTAACACTTCATCTACACCAACATCTACGCCTGATACAAACACAGCTAGACTGCTTGAGCAGTTACTTGCCGCTCATACAAAGAGTACAATGGAGATGCAGGCGGCAAATCAACTTGAGATGCTTGCTAATCAGAAGAGTACAATAGAGATGCAGACAGCACATCAACTAAAGATGCTTGCTAATCAGAAGAGTGCAATGGAGATGAAGGCTGCCCATAAAATGGAGATGATGGCTATCCAACAAAACCTACTGCAGAAGTTTGAGAGAGCTAGTGACGAACTTGCTATGCTTAAAGCCAATCAGGTCTCCTCTATTACAGCTCAACAACAACCGCCACCAGCTATGCAGACAATCACCACTAGGAGTGGTAAACAGCTACAAGGTCCTGTAGCTCCAAAACCTCTCCATGTGGACATTGAGAAGCAAAGTGGGGTGGGGGGGAGGGGGTCTCTTGAGACTCATGACAAAGAGACTGAAGTGGAATCTGAGATGGAAAGGAAAGCTGAAGCAGAGCATATAAGGAAAAGAAAACAAGTGGTTGATGAAGCACCAAGAGAAGCCATACAGCCTACACAGAAGGAACCTGTCTTTGTTCCTCCTCCTTACAAGCCACCACTTCCCTTTCTAGGAAGAATCAAGAAGCATATATTTAGAGGTAATAAATATTTTTCATATCAGAATTTTGATGATCTAATTTTATTATAAACCATTAATTAGGTACACCGCGTAGGCATCTTTTCACAATTGGATGGAATGCATTTGTGACCGCAAATCATTTGGTCGCTGGAGACTGTTTTATATTTCTTAGGTATATATTTTTGTTGTTTTACATTTTTTTGTTCTTCGATTTAAGACATTAAATATTTTGTTTTCTCAGAGGAGAAAATGGGGAGACGCTAATTGGAGCACGAAGAGTAGCTCATCGAGACGACAACATACCTTCGTTACTTATTTCTTCACATATTATATACCATGGAGTAATAGCTTCGGCAATGAATGCTATTGATACCAAAAGTATGTTTACTGTGTTTTATAAGCCAAGGTAATGAAAAAAACACTTTGTTACTTAATTTAAAACATTATGTAATTGGTTTTTTCAACAAAGATACTTATATTTTGGTTCTTGCCGTGCGTAGGTCAAGCCAGTTCATTGTAAGCTTTGACAAATTTTTAGATGCAGTGAACAACAAGTTCAATATAAATTCAAGATTTACCATGTTGTTTGAGGATGATGACTTTAATGAAAAAAGGTAAAACTTGAATACTTATTCTTGTTTGTTGTTACCAAAATATATTTATTTAAAATATATTTGTTTTCATTGCAACAGATACTATGGAAAAATTACAGAAATAGAAGATTTCTCTTCTTATTGGAGGAATTCTGAATGGCAAAACTTAAAAGTAAAAATCTCTCTAGCTAGTTAGTTCCTTGCATCTCTTTTAGTCTAGCTCCTAGATGGATTAATTAAATCTCTTTTATACTACATTTGATTAGAGAGGGATTGAATCCAGTGACCCAAAAATCCTTCTTCAATTTGGCGCCGTTGCCATTATAGGATTGTTAGATAATTGAGTTTAGGTTCTTGCTTATACTTTAACCACTTTTTAATTTACTAACCACTCTACCTTTCTAGCTCTGTTTTCTCAGGTACCATGGCTAATCCAAACCACTTTAGACCTGCTTATCAAGCTCAGTTCAGAGAAGATGAAGCACCAGTTCAGAGGTTACATAGGCCAGTGCCTCAGATTGCTAGAAGAGCACAGCATATAGGATCTGATGATGCTCCTTACCTTCACACTAGACGCAGAGGTATACTTCCTCCACCATCTCAAGAGCATCACTTTGAGATCAAAAGCAGTTTGATTGCAATGGTACAAGCCAACCGCTTTAATGGAACATCTATGGAAGATCCGCTTGATCACTTGGATGGCTTTGAGAGCCTTTGCAGTTTACAAAACATCAATGACATACAAGAAGATGGTTTCAAACTAATGTTATTTCCTTTCTCTCTTGGTGAACTTGCACATTTTTGGGAAAGATCATTGCCTTATTGATCAGTATGTTCTTGGGATGATTGCAAAAGAGTGTCTCTTGCAAAGTTTTACTCTTCTACCAGGACAGCTACGCTTAGGCAGAACATCTCAGGGTTCAAACAATCACAAGATGAGCCATTCTGTTCAGCATGGGAAATATTTCATGGGTACACTTTACGCTGCCCTCATCATGGTATCTCAACAGAGTCATTGCTCAGCACATTCTACAGAGGAGTGTTACCAAGGTTCAAGATGCTGTTAGACACAGCTAGTAACGAACACTTCTTGGGTACAACTGTTGATGATGGTTTGCAGCTGATTGAAAACCTTGCCTTGAGTAATGGTGACTATGGGGATGAGCAAGAAGACAGCTACAAGAAGAATACTGAAACCTCAGATCAACAAACGAAGCTTGATATGTTAGCACTAAATGCTAAGCTGACTTGTTGCTTGAGCAATCTCTACATCACCCACCAAAGGCAATAGAGAAGACATCAGCTCTTGGACATGCTTACAACTTAGAAGCTGAAGCCTACTATGTGCATCAACAAGATAATGTTCATCATAAGCCTTACCAGGATGCAAGATATGACAGCTACAACGCTTACAGTACTCAAGCGCACACAAGGGAGAGCGCTCCACTATAAAATCAGCTTGGTGTTCCCATACAACAATACCACAGGTCTACACCTTCCTATGAAGAACACCAAGAGCGTATGTATGCAACAGAATTTGTTCCTCAACATTAAGTGGCCGGTGCACAGGTTCTAGATATCCCTAACACTTCATCTACACCAACATCTACACCTGATACAAACACAGCTAGACTGCTTGAGCAGTTACTTGCCGCTTATACAAAGAGTACAATGGAGATGCAGGCAGCAAATCAACTTGAGATGCTTGCTAATCAGAAGAGTACAAAGAGTACAATGGAAATGCAGACGTCACATCAACTAGAGATGCTTGCTAATCAGAAGAGTGCAATGGAGATGAAGGCTGCCCATAAAATGGAGATGCTGGCTATCCAACAAAACCTACTGCAGAAGTTTGAGAGAGCTAGTGACGAACTTGCTATGCTTAAAGCCAATCAGGTCTCCTCTATTACAGCTCAACAACAACCGCCAGCAGCCATGTAGGCAATCACCATTAGGAGTGGTAAACAGCTACAAGGTCCTGTAGCCCAAAAACCTCTCCATGTGGACATTGAGAAGCAAAGTGGGGGGGGTCTCTTGAGACTCATGACAAAGAGACTGAAGTGGAATCTGAGATGGAAAGGAAAGCTGAAGCAGAGCGTATAAGGAAAAGAAAACAAGTGGTTGATGAAGCACCAAGAGAAGCCATACAGCCTACTGATATATCATGGTTTTTATGGTTTTTAACCATGATATAAGTTCTTTTTATTGAGTCTTTTTGGTCTTTTTAGAGTCCTAGTAGAGTCTTTGCAGGTTATAGCATGTCTGGAGCATAATTGGAGATTTTGGATCATTCTGGGTTGAAGCCATGAAGTACCAAGCTCTTGAGACTCATGACAAAGAGACTGAAGCGGAATCTGAGATGGAAAGGAAAGCTGAAGCAGAGCGTATAAGGAAAAGAAAACAAGTGGTTGATGAAGCACCAAGAGAAGCCATACAGCCTACTGATATATCATGGTTTTTATGGTTTTTAACCATGATATAAGTTCTTTTTATTGAGTCTTTTTGGTCTTTTTAGAGTCCTAGTAGAGTCTTTGCAGGTTATAGCATGTCTGGAGCATAATTGGAGACTTTGGATCATTTTGGGTTGAAGCCATGAAGTACCAAGCTCGAAGCAGAAAGTATCACATATGGTGACGCTCGTCACCACCTTTGGTGATGCTCGTCACCACCTTTGGTGACGCTCGTCACCCATTTAGGAAGGAGCGTGACTGTTTTATTAAAAGTGTGAAGAAGATTTGCAGATTTGGCCCAGAAGTTCTTTTATTTACATGAAGACCCAGATCGTGTTTAGCCTCTATTTATTAGGTTTTTCAGCCATTGTTGGCAGTTATCTTAGTTTTTGAGAATTCAGAGAGCTTAGAGAGAGATTTATTCAGAGCTTTTTGGGGAGACAAATCCTGTACTCTTTTGAGAAGATTTCGAACCCCTTTTATTTCTTACTCTTTCTCTTAATGCAATATTATTCAGTTATGTTTTGTGATTCCATAATCATGTCTGAGTAATCTGCTAGTTAAGTTAGGGTTTTTCAAAGGTTGACGAAAAGATTGTAGAATCGCTATCTGTTAGGAATACCTTATGGTTTTTCATCTCTGCTTGCTTTAAAATCGAATTTCTGAGACACATCATTTAGGAATCCGAAAATCTTAGGTTGTTAAATATATGTGAGAGCATTATTCATAACCTGAACTAGTATTTGATGAGCAAAGCAACTTAGTGAAAAGAGATTTGGCTTAGGAGTTCTGTAAACAATTGAATCTGATCATTCCTGCATGCTTAGGTTGTTAGGGTTTGCAAAGAGATTTGAAACTCTGTGATTTAGGCATAGATAACTTTTGCAATGAGAATTGATTAGTTATGCATCAGTGATTCATGTTTAAAACGGTTCTTAATCATTCCTGATTTCCTGCGTCATACATTCTTGGATTCAACCTGCGAACTGCCCTGACTTAGCGCTTTTAGTCTTCTGAAACTTAGATCATCTTACAAAATCGTTTGCTTACTTTCATTCATTCATTCGCATTACATACATCATATCTAGCTTAGCTTAATCCGAATCTACATTCGATAGTATAGTCTGCATTACTCTCTTGGGATTTCGATACCCTTTGTACTACAACTGCTTTTGCTGTGCACTTGCAGTAGTTTTATTTGGGTAAAACCTGAGCCCTATCACCTACACAGAAGGAACCTGTCTTTGTTCCTCCTCCTTACAAGCCACCACTTCCCTTTCTAGGAAGAATCAAGAAGCAATTGGTAGAGAAGTACAGACAATTTTTTTAGAAGCAGATAGAAAATATGGAGATAGCCATGCCCATGCTTGATGCCTTATTGCTTATACCTCAATATCAGAAGTTCTTGAAGGATGCGGTTGCAGATAGACAGAACCAGCTGGAAGGAATGGTTGTTCTTACACATGAAGTTAATGCTATCATACAGCAACCACCTCCACCTGAGAAGTTAGAAGACCCTGGAAGCTTCACTCTACCATACTCCATAGGACCACTCTCATCCAACAACTGTTTGTGTGATCTTGGCGCAAGTGTGAGTCTTATGCCCTTCTCTACTGTAAAGCGTTTAGATTCACAAGCTTTATACCAAGCAGGATAACTCTTGTGCTAGCTGACCGCTCTGTTAGACATCCTGTTGGACTCCTTGAGAACCTCCCTGTCCGAGTTGGAGAGATTGAAGCACACATCGAGGTCTTTGCTCGGTTCAACAGGATGTGAGTTAAAGATCAGTCCGGACAAAGCCTCTCCACTAAGATTCAGGTTCCATGTTCTTTATGAAAGGTGTAGAGGATCTCAATAGCTTTCCAATGGTTGTCTGATCATGTCATTTTGATCTGGGGTTAAAGAGATAGAGCGATAACAGCTATGTAGTGTTCACCAGCCTGCTATACCGGGGAAGCGCATCGACCAAAACATCAAACAAAATAAGCCGATGCGTGCTGAACCGACCAAAGCTGTCTGTAGCAACAGGGACAGACTGCATCGACCAACTGCATCGAACAAAACATCTACCGTACACCTTGATGTGTTTTATCTGAGAGTTAACCAACATTTTCCACTTTTGACCAAACCTTATCCTTTCACTTATTTAAGCTTTTGGCTTATCTGTTATCTTATCTTCTTCTTTACCCTATTTTTCGACCTTGTGGGAAAGCACAAAGAGATTTTTATGGAATTTGGATCTAGATCACCTTTTTAATAAAGTTTTGCACTTCCTTTGTTCCTTTCCTTCTAGTTCTTGTTTAATCATGTTTGATCTATCATCTGTGCTTATTTCTGTTGATTTTGCTATGTGTTGTGAGTGGTTTCCTATGGTTTGAGGTTGGAGCAGATTTGGGGATGATTGGTTGATAGCTAATGATGTTTTGGTTTGATTAATGCTTAGATCACTTACCTTAATTATCCTGGATTAGTATTATTATATGATTATTTGAACGTCTTGGATTGTCCTTATTAACCCAAACTAATTAAACTTCATTGTAGAAGAAAAAAACAAAATCAATGAAAATCA